TTAATTTCTACTCTTTTTCTCCTTTCCTTCTTTATTACTTCATACACCTGCTTCTCTGTTCTTGCCTCTCTTACCCCTTCCAGCAGATTTCTCTTTTTTTTCTTTTTCCTCTCACACATTTTCTTATACTCCTTCTTTCTTTTTTTATAATTTTCTTTATATTTTTTTCCTCTTTTCCAGTTTCTCAATAACTTTTCTACCTCCTTCCTCTTTTTTCTACAGTCCCTATCCCATCATCCTTCCTTTCCTTCTGCCCCTCTTTTTACTCTTTTCATCCTTTCTTTCATCTTAATTCTTTTTGTCAACTTTTCGATCTCTTTATCTATTGCCCCCCCTCTACCTATTTCTACCTCCTCCGTTCTTCTTCTAAACTCTTCTCTTGCCTTTTCCGACCAGTCCGTCTTTTCCACCCACCTGTCTTTCCTCCGCTATTGTCCTTCTCCTCTCACCACTACCCTTTTTGTCCACCCGTACTGCTACTGATTGGTGATCCGAATCTACCTCACACCCCACCTCCAATCTTGTCACTCTTTCCCAAACCTTCCTATCCCCTTTCGCGTAATTGATCACTGTTTCCCCTCTTTCTCCAGTAAATTCACCCTCTTTTCTCATCTCCCTCCTTTGTTCCATTCATAATTCCCCACCCTTCCTCTTCAACCCATCTAATCAGCCCTTTCCCCTGCCTATTTATCATTTTATCTTTCGATTTTTTTTCAACTCCCTCTTCTCCATCCTCCAGCGCTCCTTTCTCCCCTGTTCTCGCATTGAAATTGCCCCCCACTATCCATCTCTTTTTTCTCCTCCTTCACATATTTTATCTTACACATTATCATAAGTTGCCGCTTACGTAAACTATTGCCAATCTCCATTTCTCCTTCTTGCATCTTACTTCTCTAATCATTAAACCCTCCTCTTTTATCCATTCTTCTTCCCCTTCTAACCCCTTTCTGACTCCCATCATTATCCCACATATTGCTCTTCCTCTTCTTCCAACTCTTTCTTTCTTTACACCCTGTATCCTCCAGTTGAACTCCTTTGGCACGTTATTCTTCATCTTTTCCCGTTCCTCCTATTTCAGCCATGTTTCCACCAACCCCACGACATCCCACTTTTTTATCCTTTCCTAAAACCCTTCCTGTTTTCCCTTCACTCCCGCTACATCCCAAAAGCCTATCTTTAGGCTTCCTTTCTGTTTTTTCCTCTCCTCCTCTCTCCAGCATTCCTTTCTTTTCCTTCCCCCTCTTTTTCCTCTCTTTCACTCCTTTTTACTTTCCCCACTTTACTCTCTCTGACTCCTTTCCCCCCCTCCCCTCAGCCTCACCACACTCCCTTTTTTCCTACTCTCCCTCTCCTCCCTCTTCTCGCCGCCCTACCCTCCCATCGTTTTTCCTCCCTTCTCACTATCCTTCCTTTTCATTTTTCCGTCTCCTTCTTTTCTATTCTTTTCCTCTTCCTTTGTTCCTTTTTCTCCTCCCCTCTTTCTTCTTGTTTCTCTTTCTCATTTCTCCTTCCATCTGTCAGGACTTCTTTTTCCTCATCCCAACTCCACCACTCCCCTCTATCCAAATCTTTCCGTACTTTACCCAAGCTCTCCTCCTATTCTTTCTCTCCTTCTCAGCTATCCTCTCCAGGCTCCATTACATTTTTCTTTCCTTCAAGGTCATGTCATCCTCTATTCTTTCCATCCTCCCTTTCCACACATTCTTTCTCTGCATTACCTCTCTTTTTCTTACTCTGTCTTTTAACCTAACTAAAACCATCTTCTTTTCTTTCCCCGTTTTTCTTCCTACCTCTTTTACCTCCTCTATTCCTCTCTCTAGCCCCATCTCTAGCCATAGCTTCTCTACCGCTTCCTTTAGCCTCCCCTCCTCCACCTCCACCCTTTTCACTACTACATTGTTCCTCCTTCTGTCTCTCTCTTCTAACTCTCTCCACCTTTCTAGCTCTCTTACCTTCGCTTCTATTGCTTTATCTCTTTTTCCTATCTCCCACTTTCCTTCCTCTTTCACTTCTCCCTGCCCTTCCTTCCTCCCATCACTCCATCTCTTAACTAATATATTTAAATTTATATATTAGTTAACTTTTTTATATACACTACCGCTCATTAATTTCAATATACCCCTATATTTGTTAATTTCTCTGTAAAGGATGAACATATGATACATATGTTTTGTACAAAAATGAATACATTTGCTGTTATAAACACGTGCATGCATTGCATTTTTATATATTATTTATATATATATGAATTTATTATATTTATATATGAAATGTTTATAACAGCAAGTGCATTCATTTCTGTGCAAAACACGTATCATGATGTTCATCCTTTACAAAGAAATCAATGAATCTGTTGTATATTGAAATTAATGAGCGGTAGTGTATATAAAGGCTGGATTCGGAGAGCGCGCTATTAGCGCTATTTGCTTATTCTATGCTTGTTTTACATCTGATAAGCGATAAAGATAGAACGATGCAATAGCGCTAATAGCGCGCTCCCCGAACGCAGCCACAGAAGTTAACTAATATATAAATTTAAATATATTTGCAATATAATAAATATTTTTATAATATATAATACCTTTCTTTATATTGTTCCTTCTCTTCTCCTTCTTTCTTCGTTTTCTATCCTTATATCTTTCTCTCGTCTTAAAATACTTTTTACTTTTTTATAAACAGCTTAAGGTATCGATACAATAAATAATAATATAAAAGCTACATTTGGATGAAACGGTAATAATTTACACATCATATTATACCTATAATTATGTTAAAATCATAATAGCGTATAATAAAATCATAATAGCGTAATGAAAACGATTCATAGGAATAAATGTGATAGTATTTATGAAATAAAATTAAGTATGAAATATACATTTAAAAAATATTAATTTAATGATTATATTATTTACACGTTCTTAACATTCCATACAGGCAAAGCAAATAGATGCTATGATATACAGGGGATACCTTTAAACATTTGTTTCATTTTCTAACATTTTTCAGATATACTGTAATATAATCGTATAATCGTCATATTTTTTTTACACAGGAATACTAACGCAAAATTACTCGGACATTGTCACTACTAAAATTAAAAAATCAGATAAAGGGTTAGGTAATGTACATATTTTTAATTCACATATCTCTCATTTACTACCGAGCATCATTTCATAATGATACATTTGCAACGAAATAGATACGCTAATACTCAAAACGTATATCTGTAATCTAAACACAAGTTTTTATATTCTGGAAACGATACAAGTGTCTTAAAATACTTTTTACTTGTTTCTAAGCAGCATAAAATATCGATACTATCCGAATAGTATAAAAGCTACATTTGGATGGACGATAACAATTTAGACACCCTACCTTTATAATTATGTTAAAATCGTCAGATATACTGTAATATAATCGTCATATTTTGAAGTGAAACTTCTTTAGGCACGGTAGTGAGTTCGATTCGCGACACGAAAAAGTGTAACAGAAGTGAAACTTCTTTGGTACGGTATTAAGTTCGATTGTGCGACACGAAAAGTGTAACGAAAATTTGACCAATAGGCGTACGGCGTTGGCAAGACGGTTCTTCTTTTGGCACGGTAGTAAGTTCGATTATGCGACACGAAAAGTGTAACGAAAATTTTCGACCAATTGGCGTACGAAATGAAACTTCGAAATAGTGTCACGAAAATTCGACCAACAGGCGTACAAAGTGGAACTCCTTTTGGATCAGGCGTACGGCACTGGCGAGACGGATATAGTGAGAACTGCGTGTAACACTATATTTTCGAGTTGCGGGCGGCTTGGAGTGACTAATTCCGTTGCATTGTTTTTGTATTAATTTCAGAAAAGTTATAGCAAAGCCTTGCCTTCAGAAGTAAAAAAAAAATGAACGCGCGTGGCGACCACGC